TATGCAATTCATCAGACATATTCATCTCAATAATAATTGTTTTTTGTGAGTGAAGCAAGAAAGTGCTATGCAAAAAAATGACCACAACCCAAAAAAGTGACTACAATGCAAAGAAAAGCGAAGCGAGAAAGCTTTCTATCAGAAGTTTAAGCAAAAAATGCCACAACGTAAAAAAAGCGAAGCGAGAAGGTTTCTATTTGTGGTTTATGATACTATGCAAAAAAATGACCACAACACAAAAAAAGCGAAGCGAGAAAGCTTCCTATATTGGGAGTTTGAGCAAAAAATAACCGCAATGCAAAAAAAGCGAAGAATAGCAATTCTATTGGAATTTGATTACTGCAATTCTGATTTCAGAGGTAAGACCTTTACACCTTGCTCTCGTACAACTGTCTTAATTCTTTTTTTAGTTGCCATCATCGTTACCGTCCAACCTCTAGGGTAAGTATCTTTATATGATACAATACGAATTTTTTCATAAGAAGCAAAAAAATTTTACTTTATCCAAGAAATATCTGTTATACAAGCATTAATAGCACGCTGCAGTTTTCGTAATACATAAATCTGCATCACATGATACAAACTGCATCACGCTGCATCATATAATAATAACAATAACAGATACAGTTTGTGTAATGCAACGTATTATATCACGTAATTTTTTTCGAAGTTGTTACAAATAAAAATGTATAATATGTTATTACAAATAGATTTATTCATAAATTAAAATAAAAATTTACCTTTTACATTGTTACGATATAATAAATTAAATGAATTGTAAATTTTATTTTTTCATCATTTGTATACAAAGTAATTAAATTTTAAAATTTGCCAATTGGGATGATGCATAACATTTGGGAGTCACTGTATAATGTAGTTTAACTTTTTCATAAGTTTTGAAGATTTTTTAATAAGGTTTTAATTTAATTTTGCTAAATTATAATTTTAACTATTTAAACAACTTACAAATCTTCAGATTTTGTTTAGCAACTTTAATTCTATTTTATTTAATTTTTATATTTATAGAAAGTGATCACGGTGTTAACTCTACGCTCAACCGTTGAACTTAAGGCAACTATAACTTAATAATAGGGAGTAACATGCGAGAAACTACTAAGTTACTATGAAATAAGTCTTATCACAATCAACCTTAGGTTTATACTTTAGACAAGTAAATAAATTTAACAATTGGTAAACATGATAAACATAATTGACACGTTGAAGGATTTTAATATGTGTAGTTTAGAAAGAGATTCCTTTGTTGTAGAGATTTGTATTCTTAGCAATCCTTAACCTTAGATTCTAAGTCTTAAACTCGAACTATTAAGTTATCACTGTTATCTCTGCCCTTTTATAAATCCAATTACTTTACAAATTCACTTGGCTGAACTATACCATATTTAAAAAACGAATTTATCAAATTTTTCATGTATTTGCAATAAAAACTTTTCAACACATAATTAATTGAAGCATTTTTCCATGGAATTGTTGTCCATTTGTCCAAATTTTTTGATCAGATCGCACTGATGGTGGTGTTATTGTAGCCAAAATGCGTTATTGTCCGGAATGCCCAATTGAGTGCTCTTGCTCCAAATGCGCATTTTATCATTTCAGATATCCCAAATGCGCGTTTCAAACAATCCTAAATGATAATGTTACTTCGGATATCCAACTGAACTGCTTATTTTGTTATAAATAATTTATAAAGTTTATTTAAGTTATAAAAAAAAAAAAAAATTACACAAATATTTTTGCATTTACATTTGTAGAAGAAATTTAACTTCAGACATTTTTTGTAATCTTAATTATAAGAGGCGAATTTTTGAAATAAAAACTTATGCATTTTTATATTTTCACATGCAAAGATTAATTATAAAAGATCGTAAATCATTTAACAACGGTGAATGTCAGTTTTTTTGTCAGATGCACGAAAATACCAAGGCTGTTCACAATGAATCATACAAAATTAAGCCTTAAAACAATAAAAAAAAAATATAAATAAACCGTTCTACTATTCATCTATTGTCTTTCTACATTTTTGGCAGCTCTTCTATGATTATTCCTGCATTTGTCCTAACTAACATCCATGGCCAATAATGTGACGAAGATGGTAAATAATTGTAATATGAGCCATTCTTTAGTCACTTATTTTAATGGAGTTTTCAAGAAAGCTGTCTAAATAGAAAGAGCAAGATTTGCAAGATTTAAAAATGTGCTATAATTTTATAATGATGAGAGCTCGAAACCTTTAAACAGAGTATTAAATGTGAAGTTCAAATGGCAAAATATGTTCGATTTTTTTGTATATGTATTGTCAATTAATGTATAAACCAAAAAAAGATATTAAATATTTAATAAAAAATGTATTTAATATTTTTATTTATTTTAAAACTATAACTAAAAATTTTATAAAATAATTTTTAATAAGACTTATTTAATATTTTCCTAAAGATTTTATAAAAAAAAATTTTTAAAGCGTTACTTTTAAGCACGTGACCAATAATTGCATCAGCCAATCATCAATTGACTAAGGTATGACACGCGGCATATCAATTAATTTCCAGCAATTCATAATTTACGTCATTACAGTTTATTAAGCATTTTCATACAAACTCTCCCAATTGGACAATATGAATGATTATACATTTTCCGCCTCTAATGCCAAAACTAAAGGCAATATAGACACAAGACACGGTAAGCGGTCGCAGCTTTTATTTTTGTTATGAAAAGAATAAAAAATTAAGTACTTTTAAATATTGTTAGATTTGGAAAAAAGTCGAAAAAATGGTGCAGAGGAGTGGAGAGCAAAACATTTACAATACGTTTCTCCTGCCGCACAGGTACAGTATTTCTCAGTTCTATTTTTTTTTAACAAATTTATACATTTACATTTATATTTCTTTGATGTTTTACACCAAGAACAATTAAACAATTTATTCTACAAAGCTCAATCAACCAGTGTCAATAAGACAGAAGCTTGGGTCAACCAAAATAGCGATAGTTACGGTATGGAACGCTCTGTGTTACCTATATACGATAAACTTTCAGAAAATAAGAAAGAAGAAGCGAGTGAAAAAGTGGAAAAATCCAAAGATATATTTAAATCAACATTTGAATCAAATAATAAGTTGGATAAAAATCTTGCAATCTACAAAAAAATCAGACAAGTGCCTGGTAACAGTGAATGTTTCTTGGAAAATCAATCACAAAAGAAGAATCCAAGTTTCATTTGGAGCATCTGTCCCAGGAAAGAAAATAAGCAGAGTTCCCATAATCATGATGCGACTTCAGAACGATCAGAAACTTTTTCCTCAACATCATCTCCCCCGTTAACAAAATCAGGAGCTGATGCCACAGATAGAGATTTAGAAACACAGAAATTGCTCAGAAACCAATCTATGGACGCATCTAGCTCAAATAAAACCGAACCTTCCAGTCAATACTTTCACGCTGTCAGTAAAGAAAAGGGAGAAAATGTTTCCTTGCCAAAATTGCCAAATGTGCCGCATCACCTTCTTGAAAAATTAAAGGATAAACTTTATGACATTGCAACTAAAGACTTGTGGCTTTTCGATGAAGAACATAGAGAACATTTTGCTGAAAACTTTGGCATCACTAATATTTGTCCTTTATTTGTCGATCACTATGGATTCGCCATGTGGATGCTAGATGAAAATAAACGCTTGCTTCTTTGGAATGAAATGGAAAATAGTATTATGTATTTGGGTTCTAACTTAACAGAAGGTTTTACGAATTACCTTATCAATCCAGATAGGTTATGTTATATCATGGAGGATAATTTTAAGTTGGTGCCTGTTGATGAATTTGAACGTCAAGCTAAGGAAATGGCCGATATGATTTGGGCTAATCGGGTGGAGGAAAACACAGAAAAGAAGAGAATGAGAAATAAGAAAAATAAGAAAAATAATAGGAAGGATAAATAGTTTAATAATCACTTAAAAGAGATATTACAATATTCAATATTCAGTATAATATCAAAGTTTAAGATAGAATTAAAATATTGCAAAAACTTTTGTAAAAAAATTGCAACAATAAAATTATAAACTGCATTCTGCATTTATTTACATAGCGAAAATTTTAGTACATTTACAATGCATCAAATAATCAATCCATGATTAAATAAATGTTTTGATCATGGTTCAATGGGGTTGTCAAATCTATATTTCTGAATACGTATCTGAACGACAGCTTAATGTTCAAAAGCTTTATGTAAAATTTGATTGCTTCAGGATAATAATTGGATTGTCACTTTCAATGGAAAAATCTAGCTTTATTAAGAACATTTGATTCAAAAACATTTCTAAATATTACTTGCATACCACTATGCAAATTTGTTTTGAATACAATTCCTTGACTTTGTGGAGTGATGCCTTGATTTTTAACATCATTACGAATTGTAATACTTTTAATTTCATATAACTAGTCAAAATATCTTGAATTCCTAATTTGGAAACGTTCAGATTTTTGTTGAACGATATTCAAAAAAATTATAAAGCACATAATTCCGAATATTATGATACCACAATTGAAGTTGGAAAAGATCCAAATGTTAGAATATTCCGAGGGCACATGATTATTTTGTGCCACCGTTCTCCATATTTCCGACGAACTTTGGCAAATAAAAAAAATAATGAAGGGACCCTAACAAGTATTAAATTACCAAATATTTCATCAGAAGTATTTCAAATGACTTTAAAGAAAGTCAATTAACCAAGTATTATACTTCTTTTAAATATAATATTAAAATTATCCTTTCTTTTAATAATAGGTATATTTATGGTGGAATTATATTATTAGATGAACGAAATATTTTAAAAATTTTAAAAATAATGCTTGCTGCTGATGAGCTTCATCTTTAAGAATTGGTTGAATATTTACAACAATATCTAATTGTAAAAAGATGAATTGATGGAACAACATTTGAACATGCTTATACAACTTTAAAAATTATGTACCGAGATTATGGCTAAATCACCGGAAAAGGTATTCAAATCACTTGATTTTGCTTTGCTTCCTGAAAAACCTTTGATTTGACTTATTAAAAGAGATGATTTACAAATGAAAGAAGTTGAAGTTTGGGAAACATGTATTAAATTGGAGACTTGAAAAACATTCAACGCTTATTCCAGATCCCTTAACTTGGTCAGATGATGATTTCAAAATGATGGTGAATACCTTGCTAAATTGTTTACCCTTTGTTCGATTTTTCAGTTTATCTTCTGAAGAATTCGTCAAATATGTTCGTCCATATAAAAGGCTTTTGAAAAATCAACTTTATGAAGATTTATTGAATTTACATTTAGATCCTAATAATAAGCTAAGTGATGGTATTTTACTCCCTAGATTTAGAAATGATGGAATCGTTGACACGAGGATCATTAATTTAAATATTGTTTCTATAATTTCGAGATGGATAATAAGTTTAGAAAATAAAGTAACTTTGCTTATGTGAGAACTGTATTTACCATACAAATTATTATTAAGAGGAAGTCGAGATGACTTACACCTGAAAGGTTTCATGTATTATGTGATAATATACCTCATAAAGTCACATTCATCAAAGTAAAAGAAAAAGAAGAGATCCTAGGAGGATACAATCCTTTAATATGGACATCTATCTTGAGAGGAAATGGTCAAACGAACGATAGTTTCATATTTTCTTTTAAGGAACATTTGAAGGATTCAATTTTAAGCCATGTGAATTTTAAACATATTTCGAATGCTTAGCTTATGACCGTAGTCTCGGTCCTACATTTAGTAGTGATCTTTTAATAGCCAACCATCTTGAAGAAAATGTTTATAATAATGCTTATAGCAGGCAAATAAGATATGAAAAAAGGATAAGAGATACAGAAGATTTCAAGATTACGAAATATTTCAAATTTTAGAAAATGAGACAATTTAAATCAAACAACAAATTTGATTTGGGCATAATACTAGTTTAGTTATCTAACGTCAAATTATTATTATTTTTCTAATATTTAGATAGTTATTTATAATTAAAATCGGATAGTATGGTAAATTCTTAAATAATAAAATAATAAATACTAATCGAATCGTCACGTGAGAATTTTAATTGTACAATTTCAAACCACTTTTTGTGCTTTTCATGTGCCATTTTCTTTTGCGCCAACGTTGATAAAGATCAAGACAGAACTTTGCCTATACAATGAGACCAACATCAACATTATCAAGAATGTTCAAAGATTCTAAAAGAGATGGAGCAAGTTTGAAGACACGATTCGTATCTTACCGATTTCTATATACCCGCTATTTTCCATATATGGTAATCAGGTCGCTCATTATTTTAAAATAATTGACAAAACCCCGATTTTCGTATGGATGTAAATATGGGTTTAGTTATATAATATCATTTCCTATTCGGATATTTCAATTTATGTTTGCAAGTTTGAAAACGTTTCATTTGTAAGGAATTTGCTCATTGCTAGCCATTTTAGAATTACTATTCATCAATCAAGGAGTTGCAATTATGCTACTGGAATTATCTATTATGCCGCGTACTTCTGAATAGCCGGAATGATTAATTTTTTGGTGGCTTTATTTGTATAGAAAGTTTTAATGTGTCTGCAGTCTCCTTTAAAACTGACAAACGTCCGAATTTTTGTGACCAAGAAATTAAAAAAATTTTGTACATTTATAATATTTTTTTACAAAAAAAAATAGTTACATTGATTAATCTTCAAAATTACCATACGATGCCGATTGTAACTATATTGTAATGCATGTGATGTAATGTAATATTTCGTCACAGATCACATTTTTAGAATAAAAAGTATTTTTTGCTGAATAAGTGCTAAGCTCAGTCTGCTGAGGAGTTTGGTTAGGAACACTCACATCAGGACACCACTGGACATAAATTCGAAAGTAAATGTCAAGTTTATCCTACAAAATAAAAATAAATATAACGAACCATTCATGAGAACAAACGAACAGTATCCTGAATATGAGGCAACTTGATCACACTTAAAGAATAGGAAAATCGAAAGTATCAGTTTTTTGATCCGTCATCGCAACTTCAACGATGCTTCATCATTTTTGAAAATACTTGAAACGATCATTTTTCAAAGAGAACAAAAGTGATGTTGAACCAAAGTATCAATATTATTTTTAAAGAAAAGGTGCTTTTTATTTAATTGCAGAGGGAGGTCAATCGAGTTTTAACTGCAAAGAATACTTGGCATGCTTGCGGTATGCACTTCAAGTCTTCAGTTCAGTCGTTCTAACTTTATTGTTCACTATATAAATAAACGGTATATTGCTAACAATCTTCTTTCATACAATAGATATACAATTGAAGATAGAGTGCTCAGAATAATGGTTAAAGCCATGTTGGAAGAGATTGATAAAAGAACGCAAAAAGAGAATCTTCCGGATACTACCGGTAGTCCTAAATTTTCTTGACAATAATATACCACAAGCAATCATTCATAATTTGAATTATACTAATTTTTTGCATTATCTTATAATTATGTACGATAATTATTAGAGCCACAGAGATAATAAATACATGCAAGCAAATACTGATGTTGAGGTATTGACAGTAATATTTATTTAATATATTACGAAGCTCTAGATCAAATGTAAGATAGGATTTGTCTGCTATTCTGCTTAAAAATTTCTAAATTCATTACTTGATTTAAGAGAAAAATTTAAGCGAATTTCAAAAGAGTATCTAGTTAAGAGGGAGCCGAATTTAATCTACAAAAAATATGATAAGTTATTGTTAGTAGTAGACCCATGGTTTTAAATTGGAATTTGGTGAGTCACTTCATGAAAAATATGTAGGTGCTCTTGAGAGAAAGATAGCGAAACAATACCTCAAACTCTACTGAGGAAATTTCCGTTTTGGACATTTTTCAATAGATTTTGGGTAAGTCAACCCTCTCTAAATGCACACATATATATTTCTCTCTAAGTACACGCTCTCGTTCAGTCCCAAGCATATAGAATTCATATAGAAATTTTCTCTTTAAATGCACACCCTCTTTAAATGCACATTTTTTAAAATTTTCACTATGGTCCGAAGGGGTGCATTTAGAGAGGGTTGACTGTATTTGGATGGGTTAACCATTTGCGATAAGTGTTCTCTCAATAACCAACGATTTAATAAATCTTAGATATAAGTATCGAGAAGATTTGAAGATAAAAGATGCTGGCATATGGGTGAGGATTATAGATAATCCAGTTCAAGTTAGTCAAAGGTATTATTATTATTTTACCAACTATTATAAGCTTATTACTGGCGGTTTTATTGGGAGTTTATATTTTACCATCTCTCATAACGATTGCGTTTGTGAATGCTGGCTAAGAAGTTTTAAAGTTGATTATGAAAGTTAAGACAGTATGGTTGTTATTCGACAAATTTGCTTGTAATGTAAATGTAACATAGCACATGATAGATTCCTTTAATCAATTGCATAATTTTTTTTTTTTTGAATACTTGAGTTTCTTATTTAGAGGATGATTCGGGTGGTTTTGTTTAAAATTATTAGAGATGTAGTAATGACAGCATACCGTGCATCTCAGGCTTTAGCTATAATTCTAATTAAGAAATTCCATACTTGGTAGTAGCGCAAAGCACAACAAGATTGAAAGGGTTCATTACGTCGAGGACATCGTTGGGAAATAAAATATTACATATGATAAATTATTCAATTGCATACATCCCTCCATGAATTGGTTGATATGTTCCCAAAATAACGTCTTTGTTATTGCCTCACGAGGATTCGTAATATAAATATTTCGGGACGTAGTCAGTTTCTATAATGTCTGTGGATTATACATACCTTGAGCGATATACTTTTTTAAAAATTCATTGCTTTAAGGAGAATTATCCACATCCATACACGCTATATCCTTTAATTAACACCATTTACACAATCATATCTTACCTTAATCATGC